TGTAAAGATTTTTTTTTTGGGTACCTTCAAATCGGAGGGCTAACTTGGTCAGTGGTGGGCCGGAGGCTGGTCGGATCGACGACTTCACGATGAAATTCGGGCGGCCCGGCCGGTGACCGAACGCAAAGGCAGGTGAAGCTTTTTGTTTCATTATTTTATTTTTGCGATTACGCAGGTGCAGAGTTTGGTCAATGAAGATAACAATTTCTTTTTTATTACGGCTGAAGGAGTGAGCATTCACTTATGTTTGGGGCCTTTGAGTTTGGGCCTCAGTGTATTTTTTTATTTTAAAGGGCTGGGCTGGAATAAAGACAAAAAAAAAATTTAAGCTAAAGGGTAGTAAAAATAAGTAATAAGCCTGGGCTTCAGCCCAGCCCAGGCCTGTGGTGGATCCGTCTCTGGTTCTAAGTTTGCTCTCACTCTTCCCCTGTCCTTTGAAATAGTGGCAGCCTTTGCTCGTTGGCCAAAAGATGGAGGCGGGAAAATACGTTGTTGGCGGTGGCCCGTGAATGTCGCCAGATCTTGAGCAAATCTAGCAGTGAATGGCGAGAGAGAAATGAATGGATGCCGGCAGATCTTGACCAGAGGTAGAGAAAATAGGGAACTGAATGTCGAGAGTATATCGGAACAGTGACGAACGTGTTGGTCGGTGGAGGAGGGGGGTTTAGAGGGACACTGTTGCTCGGTGAGCGGCGGATGGTTGCGAAGGATCGGTGATTGGGATGGAAGGGAAGCAAAATGATGTAATTTAATTTGCTTTCAAGGACAAAATAGACATTTAATTCTTTCCATACTGTACAGATAAAAATATCACGCCCTCCCCCCCGAGATTATTGTATCTTGAATATGCAAGATAACTGCATTTTTATCTCGGGCCGGTCATAATCAGGCGGGCCGAAATCATGGTTAACAAACGTAAGATTAACCCAGATTAATGGCCTAATCTTATCCTATCATAGAAAGCAAATGTGCCCTATATACGTAAAATCGATAAGAAAAACAAAGGTTATAAACTTTTAAAATCCTCCCTATATATAATTCCCGAATGCGCTGAGCCTACGTGGCTGCTTCTGGTGCTTCGGAATCCTATTTGGCGAAAAATCATGCTTCGTAATTAGGTTTGGACAAATA